ATCCTTCATTTTATGGGAAGACCCTCTTGATTCAAGAGAAAACTCCGGTTTTTAAAAAAAAATGGCTGCTTATTAATTGTTAATCAATCTATAAGATGAATTAACTTCAGATTAATTCATTAATCAATAACTTGCATCCTTAATGAGTTAACTTAATTTATATCTACTCATATTCATGTAATTAAGCGTTTTAATGATTTGGACGATTAATCGATTAATCGAAAAAATAATCAACCGATTAATCGATTATTAAAATAATCGTTAGTTGCAGCCCTAGATCGAACCAGCGACCTTCCAGTTCCAGGACGACTCCCCTAACCACTCTACCACAGCTGTATAAAGTGATAACATGGTGAAGTATTAAAATGTTTCAAGAACGCTCTGATTTCTGTGCTGTCTACTTCCTGCCATGACAACTTAAACTTCCCACCTGTGGGACTAATAAAAGATTATCTCATCTTATCTCATCTTATCTTATCTTATCTTATCTTATCTTATCTTATACACGGAGCACCATTATCAGGGGTCTGGAAAAGTACAGGAACATCTGTGCTGAGCATGAACTAGAGGTCCCAAAGTCAGCAGGAGAACCCATGAAGGGTGGTGGAGAACAGCAGAACTAAGATACTGTAGGACTTCCAGATCCGGACTGACWAACAGGTGATGACTAACCAASCAGACATTGTGATGGTTGACTCTCTACAGAGGAAGGCAGTGGTGATAAATRTAACAATCCTAAGGGATTGTAACATCAGGAAGAAGAAGCACCAGAAGCCGGAGGAAATACCAAGGGCTGAAAGAGGAAACAGAACAATTSTTGAGTCAAGGCATCAATGGTCATTGAAGAAGTGGTGCTGTGATCCCCAAATGGGAAACGTGGCTCTAACAGATCCCAGGAGCAACCTCAGAGGTCGAGCACAGTCCTAGGAACAGTTGAGATACTRYGTAGAACCCTCAAGCTCCCAGATCTCTAAAAGAACACAAGCTTGAAGTGAAGTGGGACCACCCATGTGGAAGCATAATGGCGCAATTGGTGTTTCTTATGTTTACTGTGACAATAAATGTGCTTACATTGGTGAGTGAWGTGAAAAAAAGCCAAAGAAAGTTGTGACAGACATCCAGAGGTGTTACTGTAGACAGCACTATATTTGACAATTATGTAAATGTTTTTTATTTGTCATTGATGCATCCCATACAATGATGAGATTAGTGCTCTGTAATTGACCCATCATGCATGAGAAACAGCCAAGTGGAGCAGTGGGCAGCTTTGGTGCATGGTGGGGAGTTGAACCTGAGATTTCCTGGCCCCAAGTCAGATGCCACACCACTGCACCACAGCCCTTCCGCAAACTACACATGACGTGTACTTGTCTTGGGTTTTGGGTGGAGTTGTTTTAGAACAACTTTTGATTTCACATTCAAGTTTCACTTTAACTTGTCTTGTTTGGTGTCATTTTGTTCAGCACAATCTCACATGTGATGTGATGTGTGGCTTTCTATCAGATGGTAGCTCAGAATTGAAGCAGTTCATTTCAGTTTGTTTTTAAACTGTTCTTTATACTTTTGGCCAAAAGTTGTCACCAACTGTGTAACCTCCTGCCATCTTCACTCTGACTCACAAGCTTTACTGTCACTTCACCACATCAACTTCCGAATGCAGCTCAGTTAGGGAGGGGGGGTTAGGAGAAAAGAGGAAGTGTGTTGCATCCTACTTCTGTTGGCGGGTATTTAGCTCAGTGTTGGCCATCTTTTCTGGTGTTTCCTGCTTCGACCTGCTAAGCGAACAACTTTCAGAAAAAGACTTTGTGTAAATTCTTCATCTTAACTCTGATTTACCTWGGTTTAGCAACACAATCTAAAAACTGAGGTAAAGTTTGAAGCTCACACTTTTTGACGTGAGTTCAAACAGTTTCAGCCACATCTTTCCTGTTCAGGCAATCAAAACTACACCGACTCAGGCAATCAAAACCACGAGGCAGCGGATGTTCATCTTGTAAGTTCACTTTTTGATCTTCTATAAAAAAATTATTGTGGAACAAAGTATTATTTAAAATAACTGACATGTACTTTAAATAATCTTCCTATTGTCACTCTATAAGACTTCAAAATGTCTCCTTCCTGTCCAGAAAGACAGTATGATATACAGGGCCGGGCCTAGTCACTTTGGCGCCTCGGTTGAGATTTATTCAGATAGTTCCAKTGAGCCTGTTTTATACAGTCCACGCTGTAATAAACATGTAATGCAACATATATTGTTCTTAAAGTATTCTACTATTACACTAGTGTAGACCAGGTATTATGTACATTTTATATTGATCTGTTTTATATCAGAATTATTTTCAACTATGTCTGTTGTATTACTCTTTTAAAAATTAAAATGAACATCTTCAGTTCAACTTGGAACACAGGCTGTGGCAATGAACATCATTTCCGGTAACTCCCTTTCTTTGTGTCAGCGTCTGTATTTTTTGTTATTTTATTTATAATCTGTTGAATTTGTTTAGCATATAGCACCTACAATACCTGCCAACATTTGCTGACTGCAATATATCTACCCAAAAGCAATTTGCCATTTCTCAGCAGTTTGAAATGTGTTTTACTAAACTGTTGGAACCAGTAAAATTACATAAAAGCAGTTTATTGAATATTATTAAAAGATAGAACACAACTAGCCTTTAAAGTAATTTGAGCTACACATTTTTCTTTCTAACACACTTTACTTCACTTTATTAAAAAAAAGATAGAATGTTAACTAAATTTTAGAAAAAATACATATAAAATTAGGGGGAATGTTGAGTCTGGTTTTCAGCAAACATGGTACTTTATGTTCGTCTTATTGTTTTAATAAACATTGTTCCAGAAGTCTAGGCCTCACTTGGATTAAACTTTGCAATCCTAACTAATGCTGCCAGATTCTTCATCAGGTGGATCAAAGAGTTCATGATCACGCATGCGCAGTAAGACATGCTGAGTCTCACTTCTTCCCAGCAGTGTAAGGGTTAATTATGATTCATATGAAGAGATGAAGAGAAACACCGACCGGGACATGGCATATTATTTTAAAGACTAGTTTAAAGGTGGAGCTGAGGTTGTCTTTTTTTAATTCGTCTCTTTCATGGATAATCTAAATTAATTAAATAAAATATTTACTCTGTAATATTTTAATGCAAAGAAAAAACAATAAATTTAATAATAGTATGAAATACTGATCTCTGATCAGACACTGCAAAAATTAGACTTTTATAAACAAGTTATAAACACACAGCTTATTATTTTCAAAGTAATAATGACTGATATAATGTTTAATAATCTGCAGTTTGACAGTTGCACTTGGTAAGACTTGTTGAAACAAAGAAAACTTTTCATTTTAACAAGATTAATAATCAAACATATTCTGGTCTTGCTTAGTATATCGGTCTAAAAACAAGATCCAAAATACTTTTTAGCTGATACTGTAAAACTTGGTTAGAGGAACTTTTTTCTGCAGTAAAATGACTGTCTACTGCTCAGAAACAATWACAGATTAAATCAGCTCCACTTTAAACCTGGTCGGGACCAGGTTAGCTTCGGAGCACTTGTTAACACAGAAACATAAGTGCTTCACCTCCCATGCAACAGATTCAAGGCTTAATTAATTCAGGTTTACACCAAAATCCTGGCTTAATCCCTTATTTGTGCAATTGGCTCCTGTTCTTTTTGTAAATACTCTTGTAAATAAAAATAATGGGCCTCGTGCAAGAACCGTTCGTACGCACAGATTTGTTCTTAAGTTGTGCGTACGAGTGATTTAGGAGAATTTGTGGCATTCACCAATGTTTTCGTATTCTAAGATTTTTTTCAGATACRAACAAAAYTCACGAGTGGTCCATTTCAGAACCGCAACTGAGACCACTTGAGACCGCGCGGCGCAGCGCTGTGTCTTCTGAATAAATGAAAATGATTTAACACAGTTGTTTATACTTTTAGCAGCTCTTTTTATTCCACAGCTGACCTGCTAAAAATGACAGATTTTCTTTTCTGGATCTCTGACAGACGGACTTCAATCTCTGAACTCGTAAAGTTCTTCTTTTTAGTTTTCGCTGTCATTTTCATGAATGGACACTTCCTTGTATCTGAGGCAGGAAACATAGCCTTATATGGTGTTTTTTTGGGTGGTAATTATGCTAATCTCCTCTCGCATGCACAAGCAGCTGGATAGAACAGGTGTAATTTACGCAGCTCATTTACACACTTTTCTTGAAGATAGAAGAGTTTGTTGAATCTGACGTGACATGTTCGTACGAACCCTTTGTACGAACAAAARTAAGAGAAATTTAGGATAAGAATAMGAACATGTTCTTGCATGAGGCCCATTGTGATGTATTCTAACTGTAATTAATGTAGTTTGACAATTTGTTGAAAATTTAGAATTGCATTGATTCTGTGAAATTTTGCCTTCTCATTGTTTTCTCACAGGTATTTTGGAGCTAAASCATGGAAATTATCACAGAAGCTCATTCTCTCTACATGACAGAAACACATCCTGTGTTACAATGTATACAAGACAACAACCTGAAGACRCTCAAGAGGTTACTGAAGAGCAACAATATTAATGGTTTATATCTGGACAGTAAACGGGATGATCTTATATCACCACTGATTGCTGCTGTTGTAAATCACAACATTGATATTTGTACTTACCTTTTGCAAAGAGATGCAAACCCAAACCTTGCTTCTGAAAGATACTGGACACCTTTACATTATGTCTCACTGTCAGAAGCACCTCTTATTTTTGTAGAGAAACTGCTGGAAGCAAAGGCAGATCCAAATGGATTGAATCTAGGAGATGATCAGAAACGTACTCCGCTCCAAATTGCTGCCCTCAAAGACAGAGAGGATGTTGTGAGACTGCTCATCTCTGCTAATGCAAAGGTTACATTGTCACCAACAGAATGTTATGACTCTTTGCCACTCAATGAAAAGATAGTCCAAATTGTAAAAACATTGTCCTCTRACGGAGATGAATTTTGTACCAAAATCAGTTGTTTTTTGGAAATGTATATTGCTGTAGMAGAGGAGGCACCTGAGTCAGTTTTCAGAAAATTTCGCAGCAAAATGTTATGCGAAGACCCTTACAGTCATTTGGCCATGATTGAACAATTGTTCACTGTAGTTGGAGATGGTGCAGAAGAATACAGACGAAGGTGTATTCAGTGGCTTAAAGAAACACAAAATGTAAATACCTACATAACAAGTGCAGTCAGTCGCTTTGCAAAAATACCACGGAAAAGTGTGAGGCRTGTCATTGAAACTTTACATGCTGTTTTCAACACCATGAAAGAAATATCAAATGAGCAAGCAAAGGCTATAATTCCCCATCTTCTGAAGCAGCTTCACATAAAGCAGAGTCATGATCCTTGGGAAGCGATCCTACAAAAACAACAAAGACATCCAACCTGGGAAGCTGTTCTGCAAACTCTATACGGGATAACACAAAAAACAAAACGCATCAAACACTGGGATCCAAACTTTAATAAAACACTGTGCCAAAAAATTGCTCCTTTTGTGAATGAGCAGTACTCCTCTGTTGTCAGAGTTTTCACATACGGCATCTTTGCAAACTTGCTGTCAGCTAATATTTTACCATCAGTAGGAATAACTTCAGTGCCCGACGACATACTGATATATGCAGACATGAAAATGAATGACAAGCTGAAGGAAGGACTCAAGCAGCTGAAAAATGATTTAAGCTCGCCAACCTCATGTAAAAAAAAGAGAAAGAAGAGGAAGAAGACAAAAAGAGCAGAGAAACAAGAAGATCCAAGTGATGAATCAGACATGAGTGCAACTGATCCAGCAGCAGTTTCTGTTGAAGAATCAACTCCATTTGATGAAAGTGCTTCCAAACCATCATCAGCAAGGAAATGGCCACCAGTTAGCAAGAGGTGGGAAGAACAGCTTAAAAAGCTTGTTGCCACAGATGAAAGTGAAGTGACAAGAATTCATAACATTATTTATGTCAATGACRAAGAATTTTGCATAGCCAAAGGCAGTGATGGTACAGAGGTTTTCTTGGGTCTGAGAGACGACGGCACAGAAGTCGCCCTGAAAAAAATGTATAAAAGCAACTACAACACACTCAAGAATGAAGAAGGAATACTTCGACTGCCAGAACTTGATCATCCTTATATTGTGCGGTATATTGAYGCTACTGAGGATGAACACTTTGGATATCTTGCTCTCCAGCTTTGTGAGTACACCTTGGAAGAAATCATCAAGGATGGTGGTGATGATATGGTGGCAAGAAAGAAGTTGATCTATGAGTTCCTTGACGGTTTAAAGGTGCTTCACTGTCAAAATCCTCAAATTCTCCACAGAGACCTAAAACCGCAGAACATTTTGATAGGTAAGACAATCACAGTTTCATAAAATATGATGGTCTTGACTGAAGAATCTTGCTGATTTAGAATAAATGGATTGTTTTGATTGAGTGGAAAGCATAATCTTTATATCAATATACTATATAACAAAACATGCAACAGTGTCATAGATTTTTTTTCCTTCTGGGTTTGTTCTGCAGATATTAGGAAGAAAGCAAGATTGGCTGATTTTGGCATAAGTAGACGCCTACACAAAGATCAAACCACTTGGCGAACAGGCAGTGCAGGAACAAAGTGCTGGAAAGCCACAGAGGCGTTAGAGGAAGAAGCTGATGTGCCGTACAAATCAACAACTGATGTACAGGTGAGGTTTTCTGCTGCGCTAAGTGTTTTCGGACTTGGTGAGAATGATACTAAACTGACCAAATGTTTTGYGTTTGGTTAAGGTGGCAGGGATGCTGATTTATTATATCCTTTCTGGAGGATATCATCCATTCTACCCTGAAGGAAAGGATCCATTTGTTATCAACAAGTCATTTCAATGCGAGTCCAACATTTGTGAAGGGATCTACAGATTGGAACGAGTTGATGATGTGGTGGCCAAGGACCTAATTGAACAGATGATCAATAAAGAACCAGCAAAAAGACCAAAAGTGGAAGAATGCTTGAGTCACCCCTTCTTTTGGACCGATACACAGTAAGACAATAAGCACAAACATATTTACTCATTCTCATTTTTAATGTTGGCAACAAGGTGGGGCAGCGTTTAGAGCTGTAGCGTTTCAGAGAGAAGGTTCCAGCATGATCTTGCAGCCAGGGGTTTTTAATTGGTGGAGTTCTGTCTCACAAGCAAAAATCATGCATGGTACATTCAGCTGTAACTCTAAATTGGTGTGAGTGAATGGTTGTTTGTCTTGTTTGACTCCATTGGATCCTGGGTGTATCTTGTGACATGAAGAGTAAATTCTAGCTTTGCTTTACTTTGACTTTCTGTAAACTGTTCAAAACTGCTAATTGCTGTTTAGATGAATCACACATTACATTTGCATGATTTACYAACAAAATATTTCCTTTTTTACCAGGAAAGTTGGATATTTGAAAAACATTGGTAACCGAAAGGAGGTGGCAAAATATCAAGAGGCTGATGAAAAACTGGTTCARTCAATGGAAAATATCTCAAGAGATGACTCCTTCAGAAAATGGAAACAGAAGGTGACTGTAACAGAAAAAAAAAATCATATTTTGTGAATAAATAAATGAATAAATCCTAAAGCAAGAGGTTTTTAAATCACAAAGATGTTTGTATTTAATCTGGGTAGATCTTTTTGATAATTTACAGTTAGAATACAAGTGAAAATATAGTCCAGTAATCCTCAAATCAACTATAAACTAGTATTTTTTCATTGAATGTATATTACCTGCTACTTTTCTAGACTTGCATTTTGTTAACTTCCTTGATGAGTTTAGCAGAGGTGCACATTCTTATTGCTTGAGTTTTGAATTTGTCCCTCAAACCAGATATCAAGGTGTAGCCAGGTTATCTCCAACTTGCCTCAAGGCGGCCATCCTAATCTTTCTCTGTACTTACGTTCTCTTCTTGTACCTGCAGTACCTATWCTGTCCCAGGGATAATTAAGCCAGAACTTTGGCACCAATGAAAAATAGGAATGACATTTCCTTGTGCCTATATTCCCCGGTACAATGCGTGCACTGCAATTCTGTTTTTTCATTTGTTTAAAAGAACATTTGAAGTGGGGAGCTAAGCATCTTTCTTGAACTTCATTATTTACCACCATATCAAACCCAYGCTATTTGAACCCAGTATGTCTAAGGTTTAGGTTTTCTTAAGTCTTGTTAAATCAGTAAAGACACAAAAAAAAAGCTGTGTTAATGTTAAACTTGATTTAATGAATAACATGTCATGATACTTGTTGTTGCAGTTTTCACCACAGCTGGTTCAGAAGATGGATGGAAGAAAACCCTACAATGAGAACATCTTGGGATTGTTGCGGTTCATGCGCAACCTTCATGAGCACTAGTAAGTTAACCCTCCTGCGTCAAAATGACCTACGAGGCCTCAATTTTAAAACAAAGCAGTAAACACAAAATGGTAAAACAGTATGTAAATAGTTTTCATTTTTTGATTTGATTTGATTTGATTTATTTATTTAACAGGAAAAGATTATTAAAAATCAAGCCTGACTCAGCATAATTGCTGTTTTACAGCAGGTTCCTGTTCTGCAGCACATAAAACAC